TAGTACTCTTCAATCTTCTCTATGAGAATCTCCAGATTGTCTTCATCCACTAAATTAGCAGGTAGGATTTTAAGGTGTGGCTGTCTCCCAGAGGTATTTACTGGGAATTGGGGGAAGTTCTTGAAGATTAGTAAGGCTTTGGAGCCCTGGTGGTGCAGTGGTTAAGCACCTGTCTGCTAACCAAAAGGTAGGTAGTTGGAATCCACCAGGCACTCCTTAGAAATCCAATGGGGTAGTTCTACTCTGTCCTATAGGGTTGCTATGAGTCAGAATCAACTCGACAGCAATGGGTTTGGTTTGGTTTTTTAGCAGATATTAGAAGAATGGAGAAGCAGAGAGAGCTAGCTCTGGCTACCATTCTCCTAATCTCACTGCACTGCCTCCCAAACCACACGTTTCTTTCCCTGGATTTTGGACCAAAATGCTCCCTGACTGTTCTTCAGGGTCAGTGACTCCCTCTTAGGAGTGGATGAATATACTTGGCAAATTGCGAGGCTGCTGACCCCTGATCTAAGAAATTCCAAGCAACAGGAGACCCGAGTTGACACATCAAATTGTATCTGGCTCACTATTTGAAAAGAATGAATCATTCACTAGACTGAATCACTTAACATCATGGTCCGAAGTGTGGTACCAAAGAGTATGGGCCAGCTTCATACACATTGTGTACTAGACTCTTGTAACTGATAAATCATTCTTCTCATCAAAATAGAAGCATGTTTATCAAGTACCTAATTGTGCATACGATTTGGAAACATGCAGAATATGAAGGCTAAATATTAAAGTAAATTAGTCCCTGTTGAAGTTTCATGGAACAGGTGAGATATCTATTATTATAAAAAGGGAGGAGACTTGCTATGTATTAATTGTCAGGTTACTGAAACTCTAGGTCAATTTGATAGGAATGTTAAGAGTAACTTCTCAGAAAGAACTTGGTGTTTGTAAAGTGGCAACTCTGTTTACTTGGGCAGAAATATGGTTATGTTAGGCTGTTTTTAGTGATAAAGAGTTTTTGAAAAGTTTCAAACCTTGGGAATATGACCCACAATGACCTAATAGTGTATTCTTTCCTGTACTCAGAGTCATGGATAAAGAAATTTATCTTCTATCACGTAATAAGAATAGATTTGAGTGTGTAGTCAGACCTATGAATAATATAGACAAAGACTAGATATTGTTTAAAAATAATTTTTAAAAATAATTTTATGCTGCACTAGTCCTAAATTATTCTTTTGGCTTGATATAAAAAAGTACAGAAATAAAATGAACATTTATCAAGTGCTAGTTTTGTATGTCAGGCATTCATTTATACTGTTACATATATCATATCATTAAAGCTCACAGAAAGTCTATACAATAGGTTATGTTTTCATTTTAATCAAAGAGGAAACTGAACCTCAAAGACTGAGATAACAGAGTTAGAATAAACACTGTTAGCTTGTACTGTTTCCATGATAATTTAGCCAAAAATAGGCACAAACTGAAAAACTTAAAATCAAGTAAGACTAAAGGAAATGAGGCAGACTCTCCTCTTTAATTTAGATGAACTCTATATCTGCAGGAAAAAGTAAATGAAATATATTGCAGAATGATGCTTGTTTCTGCTGATGGTAGGAGGCAGTAGAAAGAGTTTTGGAAATGTATGTATGTATGTATGCAGTATGTAAATTCCAGATATAATTTTCCTGACTGTTATTGATTTTTGAAAGCTACTTGCAAGATTGGTATCAATGTCTTATAATCTGTAAAATGTAAATGTTACTATTCTATCTAGTTTGCAGGGGTACTGTAAGGCTATTGAAGAATCTTATAGAATTTTTAGGAAAGCTGCTATAAAACACAAAGGTTATTTAATATTTCTGACCCACATCTGTGTCCCTAAATTACTTTGCTCTTACCTCAATTACTGTCATTTTGCATCCTAATCACCTCTCTACTTTCTGATGTCTCTACCAGAAGGTGGGTTCTTCTGAGATAGGGATTGTGTCTCTTTTATCGTGGTATCCATAGTAACCTGGACAGTGCCTGAAATATATGTGCTCAGTGTATGTTTATTGAATAAATAAACCAGCAAACCACAACAAAAGGGTTCATCTCTGATGCCAGCTTTGTTATTTTCAAAATGAGAACACAGTAATATTTTCCTAGGTTACTTACCAGTAGTGTCATGATATCCGCACATATACTGTTTACTGGAGATGTGTGCCACAGAAATAAAAGGTGTTATGACGATGATTAGCAAGGGGTAATTATTTACAGAACATTTTATTAGTTAAAATCTAGAAAAAATCCGACCAATAAATTTCACGAAAGAAATGCAGGCTTATTTGATGTAAACGTAGTAGTGACCACTTCCATCCTTGGATTCCCAGGGTTGAAGGAAAAGCAGGATCTTACACCAGAGATGAGAACAGTCTCGCACTAGGTGGCTCTCTTCCCCATGAGTGGGCGACGCGTTGGAGCCCGACTGGATGATAAGAGGTCATTGTACTGCTTGCAATCACCGCGCGCGTCACACCGCATCCTACTAGGCTCTTGCAGCTTGGGGGAGGAGAGGGGCATAGTTCAGTTTGTTTCGCTAATGAAAATCTGTCCTTGAGATTTATTTCAAAGTAGGTTGTACTTTCATTTCCTCCAAACTATATATGATTTTCCAAGTAAACACTGGCCCAGTTTTTAAATAAGTGAGGTTTCAGGTTAGGATCTGTAAAAGCGCTTCTTTAGCTAGCATGAAGACAGCAGGAATCAGGTACCCAAACCAAAACAGCTCGTTAAAATCCCAATTTTAACTATCCAATGAGAACTGCATTCCTGGAGGATTTTATACTGTTACATATCCTAAAGTACTTTGGGATAGCTCCTTAAACGACTCCACAAAACTCTATGAATCGAAAATATAACTTGTAAACTGTCAAATAAGTCCTTCAATCATTAAGATGATGACTTCAACTATTTCTCATACACTCCATGTTATTTTCTGCTTTTTAAGTCTCATTATTTTCTGCTTTTTAAGTCTCATTATTTTCTGCTTTTTAAGTCTCATTATTTTCTGCTTTGAAAAACCCAAGCCTGACACAAAATACACATAACAGACGTTAAAAAAATATTTGTTTTATGATTGAAAGTCCATTTCCTAGACGCCTTTCATTGGAACTTCGCACTTATATGTAGGTTCTTTTAGATACTATTTTACCCAATGCTTTCCTCTCTAACCCAAGAGATACAGTGACAAGTTCTAAATCATAGCAGACTCGTGATCGCAGGAGGAAGGGTGAAGAGGGAGGAGCTCCGAGGTTGGCCTTGGATAATCTAGCGGGACCCCCACTGGGGGGGTGCCTCTAAGAAGGAGAGCAATCACCTCGTCCCCAGCTCTAAATGCTTGAAAATGACTTGCTGGCCTTCTAGGATGTGTTCCTACTCTCACTCTGGCCTCTCCGCAAGTAGGCGGTGGCTTGGGAAAGCCGCGCGGGAACTCCGAGGGGGCTCGGTCGCTCAGGGTGTGTGGAGGCGGTGGGGGGAAGATCTCGGGGAGAGGTCGACCTGCCGGGGAAAGCCGAATGCTTCCGTCTGCAGGAGAGGAATCGCATCGCGGCAGTCGTGTGCCGTTCTCCTCCCTCAGGGACCCCGTCCAGGCGGGATCCCGCCTCCCAGAGCCGGAGGCAGTTGTGGGGAAACCCCTCGCCCTTTCTCGTAGCCTCGCGCCGCCGCCTCGCTCTCCCCGCTCCAGCTTGCCGCCCGCCATCCTTCAGGGCCTGCATCTTCGCGGGGCGGGGCCCTCTCCACGCCCGGCGCTGAGAGGAAACTATGGAGGTGGTTCCCGCCCACGTGCGGGTGGGAAAACCCATGGTGAATGCCTGGCGGTCGACCCCGCCATGGCTGTGGGAAGGGGGAAGAGAGGAGGAAATGGACTTCGCTGCCTGGGAGAACTACCTCGATTCCCAAGCTGGGGGCGGCCTTTAGATAAAGGGGAAAGCTAGGGGGAACCCTGAGCAGTTTCCCGGGAACCCATTCGCCACGGGGTCACCCTATCAGCACACACAGGTTCCTATGACAATACAACCGCAGCCTGCAGTTGCCTTGGCAACTGCCTATCCAATCCGATTACTTTCCTTTCTCTTCTCCCTCTGCCCCCCGGGCTCCACTCTATCGCCTTTAACAGTCCCTCGGCGTGCAGGGGGAGGGGCCTTAGAAAAGCGGAGAGAGTCTTTCGCGTCACCCTTTAGCGCGCGAGGGAAGATAAGAGACCAGGGACTGGCGGGCGGAACCGTAGGAGGAAGAGACGGCGTTTCCGGTGGGAAAAAGTAGGGGAGTGGGAAAAGGAAAAGAGAAATTGGGTGGAGTGGAAAGACGGGGGAAGACTTTGAGTGTAACTCCCGGCTGATTTGGGCTCGATGTTCCCGGTGAGGCTGGGCTTGCCCCCTCACGCGGTAGAGGGGTGGATTGGCAGTAAGCAGCGAAGCGCCACCAACAGGCCGCTCAGGCACAGCCGCACAAGCGCCACACAGCCCACTGATCCCAAGAGGGAGCTCTATAGAGAACCGGAAATCACAGGGTGGGCTCGGCGTCGCTGAATTCTCGCGAGAGGGACCCCTACTTCCTTCCTCTGCTTCTCCTTCCTCTTTCCCCCGCCCCCTTCCCTGCGCCCTCCCCCTCCCCCCTCCCGGGTCGGAGTGTCCCTGCGCCTCAAGGGCCGGAGAAGCAGCGAGAGCAGCTTTCCCCACTCCCTCCCCTTCGCCTCGCTCACCCCCACCCCCCCCGCCGAGCGAGGAGGAGCCGGAGGAGAGGAAGATGGCGGCGGCCGCCAGCACCCGCGGGGCCGCGGGGCCGCTCCGAGGAGCTTGAGAGACCCACGGACGCTTCGCGGGAAGACGCGGCGGCGGAGGATGAGCCTGCAGAGCGCGCAGTATCTCCGGTGAGTGCCGAGGCTGACCTCATACGTACGGGGAGCTGGCCGAGGGTTGGGGCATGGGGCAACAGACACAGAGGTGGTATGTCCTAGGTGGCGGGGGAGTTGCTGTGTCCTCTCCTTCTCAGGCTGGGAGACCGGGGCTGCGAGGGGATCTGCGGGAGGGGCGGAGCAGGTACACACATGTTTGTATGGGTGCCTGGCCCCCGCGGACTGGCTGAGCTCTAGGGAAGCCGGCTCGTCGCGGTGCGGAAAGGGAGGTTGGGGAAGCGTGAGAATGTGAGCGCGGGCTCGCTGGGGAAGGGTGGGCGAAGGCGCCTGGGAGGCGGCGGCGACCCCGAGTCGATATAGGTATAGAGAAGGGGTTTGTCTGATCCTGGTGGTGGGGAAACGTAGTGTGGTGTGGGATTGGCTGGAGCGACGCAGGAGAGGACAGGGTCGAAGTCTGCACACCTGGGGTGGGGTGGGGGGAGAGGAAAGGGAGTCCTCAGGAAACTGGAACTTGTTCTTCTCGGGCTGAGAATAAGAGGAATAATGTCAGCTCCAGTTAGTTGGCGGGGCGGGGGGCAGGCATAAAAAGGGAGAAAGGATGGGAAGATGAGGAAAGGGAGGTAGTATGGACTAGGTTGGGCTCCCCAGAAGATACTGGGTTGGAATGATTGCAGTCGGAAGATACCATTCTGAGAGTCGTGTGCATTCATTAAGAGTGGTGTAAGGAACTTGTATTTCGGAGGTAGAGTGACGCATGGGTACAGAGTATGAGTGTAATGTGTGTCCCGGATAGGAGGAGGGTGACAATTGGTACACATTCTAGGAAGGGAAAGCTAACAGAAATACTGGAATTTACTACGTGATGGCGAGAGCATATTGAATGGAAAGGCATCAGCAATTGTGCAGCCAGAAAGGTTCTCCACAAGCAAAATAAGAGCTTAGAGGAAAACAGAGACAAAAATCCTGATGGTGGAGAAAAGTAAGGTTGCTAAAGCCTGAAATTAATTGAGGAGTTGCTACTTCTTAGAAAAGAGGAAGGAAGACCTTACAGTGAGTCTTTTTTTGTCTTTTAGGAGCAGAAGTAAGAAAGGCAGGCCTTATGGGGAGATGTTTTAAAGAAAAAATTGGTTTCATATCTTTTAGAGAAGAGAATTTGACAGAGTAGAAGCCTGAAATGAGGAGAAATGTCGTTTTAGCTGGCTGTTGCTGTTGGGTGCTGTACAGTAGAACTGTCCCATAAGGTTTTCTTTGCTGTAATCTTTAAGGAAGCAGTTCGTCAGGTTTTTTTCTTTAGTGAAGTGAAAATATTGACGTGAGGCGATCCCTGTATGTACATTGCAAGAGGAGGTATGTAGTAAGTGATACGTGACAGCGGCTACTCTACTTTTGAGAGTATAGAGAAGAGGGAATGATAAGGTCTTAGAACTATGGTTGAGTGCAAGAGTAACAGAGACAAGATTCCCACAATGACCATAGGAATGGTATCTGTATATTGAGATCTTTTTCTCCTGTATTATCCCTTTAATATTTAGCATATCAGATAAACATAATAAGTACAACTATGCCAAAGACCTATGGTAGGTGCTGCAGGGAGATATGAAAACCATTGGGACAGTCCTTAATCTTAAGGAATTTGCAGTTTGGTATCTACTAGGTGAGTAAATAAATAACAGCACAGGCTAGAATATGGTAACTACCGTCAAAGATACTAAGTCTTATAAGAGTGCAAAGGCAGGAGATTGCCTGAACAATTGAGGAAATCCAGAAAGGCTTCCTTTGTTCATTTGCTTAGCTGTACACTCATCATTCATCAGATGTTTTGTTGATCACCTATATGAGAAGAATTGTACCATCTGCTGAGAATAGAAAAGTAAGAACCCCACCCTGCTCTTCACAGAGCTTATAGTTTGTTAGGCTTCAAGGAAAAAATGACACTTTTAAAATGGACTTTGAGGGATAAACAGTATCCTGGCAGGTGTTGATTGAGAAGAGGGGGTTCCAGATGGAAGGAAACTGTAAGTAGATGGGGTGGGTTGGTGTTCAGGAAATAATGAGTCCAGCTGGACAAGAATGCAGGTTAAACTCTAAGCTGGAAAAGCTTAGAGTTTTATAGATTATCAGGTTTGGCCCCTTCTTTTTACAGATGAGGAAAGTAAAGCCCAAAGAACCTAAAATTGCTGAGGACCATATGGCTTGATATGTGGGAGCTCTATAGCTCAAACATAGGTCTTCTAACTCCAAATTAGCTATGCTGTTCTGCATGTCTGGGCTCAGTCATTCTTTCAAGGAATACTATATTTTAGGTTCAAAGGATACAATGGTGAACAAAAGTGACAAGTCTTTACTTTCATTGGAGTGTATATTCTAGTAGAAGGAGGCAGTCAGTAAACGGACAGATAAATATATATCAGACGCTGACAAGTACTAGGAAGAAAAATAAAGTAGGGATGTGCTGTTTTATATAGGCAGGGTTGTCAGGGAAAGTATATTTGATAAAGTAACCATATTTTAGAGAATTTTGAGTACTATGATTAGTAGTTTGTAGTTAAAATGGGTGGGCAGTGGGAAATCCAAGGTGATTTGTTCAGAAGGGAGTTCACATGTTCATAGTTATGTACTAGGAAGACCAATCTGTGTAACAGTGGAAGGAGAGCTAGAAATACTGTGGTAGTAGTAGTACTAGAAAGGTATGATGAAAGGCAGATTGGAAGAGTGGTATTTTAATGGGAAACTCAGTTGGCTGTGAGAGCCTCTGGTGTTGATAGACTTTATTTTTTATAAATTGGTTTATCCTTAGGTTGTAGAATCAATGGTAGACAACTTGAGATGAATTTAATTCTTTGAAGAAGGGAGAAAAGAGTAAGAATGAATACAGTGTTTAACCTATATTTTCCAGCTACAATTGAACAGGCAAAATGGAGGAGGTGTGTTGTTGTTGTTATATGCTCTCAAGTTGATTCTGACTCATAGCGACCCTATAGAACAGAGTAGAACAGCCCCATATGGTTTCCTAGGCTTCCTGGGCTATAATCTTTACAGATCATAAGGTCTTTTCTCCGGTGGAGCTGTTGGATTCAAACCACCGGCGATGTTTAGGTTAGCAGCTGAGCGTTTAACCATTGTGCCACCAGGGCTCCTTGGAGGAGGTCTCTTAAGGGTGTTTGGGAGCCAGTCTTTTCTCAATCTTGCTCATATGTACTAAGTAAAAAAAAAAAGTCTTAGGGCTGATAGGAGTCTGGGACTGAAGTGGGGAGTGGAATAAAGAGAGACTGTCACCAGCCCGAATTTCCTTCCTCCTCCTTTAGGTGATCATTCCATTTAAAGTCAGCTGTAGAGAGACTAGAGCAAGTTATTTCTTCAGGGAAGTATTATGTTCATTTTCTTTGCTTTGATGAAAATGGAACTGTTGGTTTTTATAGACAGCTCAGGGAGGATGCTGTAGATATTGCTGAATGAGTGTACTTGGGGTTATAGTGGTTATTCTTCGTGACTGACTGTAGGAAGAGTTTTTGTTGCCTACCTTTGTCAGTAGTAAAAGACGATGACTGGGCGGTTTTCAAACTGCATAGCTACAGATCCTCCCTTGTGTAGATGAAAATTAGTTTTGTCTCAGCTGAATTTTAATTTGCTAGAGTAAATGAGCTGGGGTATCTTGGCGTGGAAATGGTGGGATTGTAGGTATGAGGATATGAGGTAGGAGGCCTCAGTAAGATAAAGAAACAAACATAAAGGGGACTGAATGAATCTCAACTTGTAGAAAAAGAGCAAAGAGGAGAACAAATAGAACAAAGGTAATATTATGGGTAAGAAAGGATGATGAATTTTTTTTGTTAAAAGGAAAATGTCTTGTTTTTTATAATAGCAGACACGATTCCTATCCAAATGAATAAATTGAGAAGTATTATTTAATGAGGATAAAAATAATACTTTCTTACACTATATAAAAGAAGAAATGGTCTTAGATGTGAGATTTCTAGACATGGAAATTTAATACTCATATTGGAGAAAAATTCAGAATATTTTTCTCTATTAGTGAAGAGCTGAATTCCACTGGCACACTTCTTTGTCGGAAACTTTGTTACCATAAGTAGAAATAATATAACAGCCACAGGGTTGTTTCCTAGGGCAGTAGAAAAGTGGTTGTCACTTAAATGCTGATTTAAATATCCAATACATTGTAAGATAAAATTTGTCACTGTGAATCTTGGGACAAAAGAAGACAAAAGGGCCCTCCCCCTTTGTCTTTGAGGCCGTTAAAGTACCAAGTAGAACTTCATCATGGGACAGAGAAGTTAGTGGGAACGTTTGGTTGGAATATGTATACTAAATAGCATAGACTCCAGGTTCTAGAAGAATCTGGTAATGTTTGGCTGTGTATTCACTGTCTGGAAGCTTCAAGAAGTCCCGTAGCACATGCTAACATTAATTCATGTGATCGACAATGCCTTCTTCCCTTTGCCTGGTTCCTCTTCCTCGCCAAACACAAGATTTAAAGTAGCTTTAGCCCCAGAAAATCGACCAAACATGACATCACTGTATAAAATCATTCGAAATAAATTATTGTCTCTTGAGGCATGTGAGACTGTTATTTGTTATAATACTTTATTTGTTAAATAGTGTTTTACCTGCTTGCATATTGACTGGCTAAATTATTTTGGCAGTTAATTTCTGCTTCCCTTGTGGTTTCAGTTGGATTTAAAATTTATACTTCCTGTCCTAGCTTGTTTCATTTCTTTGCTTTCTAACAGCTGCTATGTTCTACCTTAGCGGTAGATGAAACAATTTTTTTTTTTAATGGATATGTAAAGCAAGTTTCTTATGAGGCAGTTTTGGAGAGGAGGGTGGTTCAGACTTTAAAAAGGCTAGTTCGCTTTGTACTGGAGGAAAATTTTTTGCTATCTCCAAATACATCTCTGACCCTGAATAGCCTTTTAGATTTTTGTTATTGATGGTATGAATGAATGCCTGAAAGTTTAGATAAGTTAGTTTAACTGATCAATCTTGTTCAGAAAATAAATTGCTAAGCAGACGTCTTACTGTTATTGTTCATCTGTATGTGGGTATGTTTGCGATGGTCATTACATATTGCCATTTAAGTTTTGTAGTCCAGCTGTATTTTAATTTAGTAGTTGTGTTGTTGTGGCTAGATTTTTCAGTGATCTGGGAGATTGTTAGGGCTAATCAGCAGTTACAGGGAAATACAGGGATGGAGTTTTGGCAAATGTCACTAAGTAAGTGAGAACTTATAACCAGCTCCTTTCTTGTTAGCTTGTAATGAAGTTGCTTAGGAAGGTTGCTTTTACTCTGCCTTAGACCCAATTTTTAGTGGGTGGAGAGAGGAGGTGACTATTCATTGTTGAAGAAAACTTTAGGAATCGTAGACAGAGTAAGTTCAGTACCCACCCCCCATCTGCTTCGTTTAGAACAGGGCTTCTCAACTTTGGGTCTTGCTGACATTTTGGGCCAGATGATTCTTTGTTGTAGGGAGCTGTCGTATGCATTGTAGGATGTTTAGCAGTAACCCTGACCTCTTCCCACTAGATACCAGTGTCATTCCCACCTGTTTGTGACAGCCGAAAGTGTCTGCACACATTGCCAAATGTTCCCTGAGGTGCAGATTCACTCCCAGTTGAGAACCAGTGATTTAGAAATGTATAGGAAAGGTATATCATATATGCACAGTGTAGGTTCATTTTCTTGTTTTCTCCTCCTCCAAGCCACTGATTAATTCTTATGCTTCTCTTATCAGTTATCTCTGAGGTAGGAATAGGCTAGTTACCATGTTTAGAGGAGTCCCTAGGTGGCACAAACTTCATACCCAACTAGTAAAGCCCACCTTTATACCCAGACTGCTAACTGAAAGGTTGGTTAGCAGTTTGAACTCACCCAGAGGTGCCTCAAAAGGCATGCTTGGCAGTTTGTTCCCAAAAGGTCACAGCCATGAAAACTCTGTGGAGCACAGTTCTGCTCTGCAACACATGGGGTCAGCATGAATCGGAATTGACTGAACAGCATCTGGTAAAGCTGGTAATCATGTTTAGACTTTACCCATAAACACTTGTACGTATTTAAAATATTTTTTTGTTGTTGTTTTATTTTACTGGCAGTTATTGAATACTTAACTATGTGCAGAACACAATCATGGGGCTTTGCCAACGGGAAACTCAGATACTAGGGAAAGACATTTAAGTAACTATAATAGCAGGTGAGCTGATAAGTGCTGTTGATGGGAAAACAATGGTACTGTGTGAGTATAGGCAAGAAGAGATTTATTCCATCAGAGCGGGAGGTGGGATGAGGAGGGTTTTTTGGAGGAGTTGAGATTTGATCTGGGTCCTGAAAGATGGCTGGGACTTTTAAACGTGAATATTGGACATACTGACATTCAGGCAGAAGGAATATCTCATGGCTCCTTTATTATAAATAAATTTAAAAATTTCATTTCCGTTTAATACATGGCATTTGTATTTTGATCAGACTTTTCTAATTTGTTCTTAGATAAAATAGGTTTATGGACAGAGAAGTAGAGATGTGGAAGTGTTAGTGCTGCAGATTTGATGTCTGGTATGGACCTTGAAAAGGCAAAGACAGGTTGGTCAGGTAGGTTCCTACAGAATCCCTACCTTTAACTGCTCTCAATTGTATACCATTCCTGTAGGACCTTATTTTAGTTGTGCTGTCTCTTCTTTTAATCTTTTTAATTACAGTATTCCCCTTGATTAATCTCCTCCTATGTGAACTAATCTAAATTTTTCCTTAAAATTTTTTTCCTGCTCCTGTTTTCCCTTTAACCTCTGTCCTTCCTTACTTTTCTTTTATGGCTAACCATTTCAAGTTTGCCCTATACTGTTTTCCTTTTATTTACCTTCTACTTTTCCTTCATACCTTGTAGTCCTGCTATTTTTCCTTAGCACTGTATTAGAATTGATTATTTCCAAAGGTGTCAGAGCCTCCTAATGGCCAAATTCATCCACTGATTGTTTTCATTTCTCTCATAACCATAATTTTGTTTTCCTCCCTTTCTTTCTGTGTTCCTCGTTATCATATCTATTCATCCATCTCACCAGTAAACATTCAGTCTGGGCCAAGATATATGCCAGATCCCTGGGGATAAAAAGAGAATATGTTCTTAAGTAGTTTTATCAGACTGAAAAGTAAGTACATAATTACCACATAGTTTATACCTGCTATGATATGCACAGGGGCCTTATGGGAAGTTCTTGAGATCTGTTGGTTTTAGCACCGAGATTCCAGGATTGTGATTATCCCCACCTCTTATTTAGTTTTCTTGGTCCACCTCACCCCACCAGCTCTACATTTGTTTTCCTCAGATACCACATGCACTCATGGGACTTTTGCTGATCACTACATCATCATTGTTTAAAATCTCTCAGGCATCTACTTAGTACAAATCATCGTGCTAGGTCCTGGGGAGACAAGTTGGTGTATCATTCCTGTCATTCAGAGAGTTTATAAACTATTTAATGAAATAGGTGTAAACATAAAATAATGCATAGTAAAGTGCAGGATAGTGAGTGTATAAGCATAAGTCATAAGCAGAAAGACCTGGATTCAAAGCAGAGCTTTGCCGCTTACTGGCTGTGTTACCTTGGGGAAGTTACTTAGACATTCTGTGCTTCAGTTTCCCCATCTGTAACATTGGGGGGTGGGTCGTAGTAACTACCTCATAGGATTATAAAGATCAAATGAGTTAATAAGTGTAAAGTGTTTGGAATAGTTATGGCACATAAGCACTATAGAAGTTGATGGCAGTGGGTTTGGTTTTTGGTTTATGTAAGTTTTAAGTGGGTATGAGGAAGACCTTCAACAAAATGGCTTGACACAGTGGCTGCAACAATGGGCTCAAACATAGCAATGATTGTGAGGATGGCGCAGGACCAGGCAGCATTTCGTTCTGTTATACATAAGGTTGCTGTGAATCAGAACTGACTTGATGGCACCTAACAACAATGACAGTGCCTGGAAATTTTATATCTCTGGTACTAACTAATTTGATAATTTGCACCTTTGCCTGCAGCACATTTTCTAATTTTAGAAGTCTTACTGTCATATCAAATACAGCACTCTTAAAAGAAAACTGTTTGTCCTTCTCCTTTTCATCTTCTTACCTATTCCTCATGTATTCTCATTTTCCTTATTAGTGCTGCCCCTCACCCTTCTCCCAAGCCCAGGTTCAAAACCTTGTGGTTATCTTTGAGATCTGCATTCTCTTCCATACGCACACCATTTTGGAAATGTTGCCTTCCTTTTGTCTCCTCTTTTTCATTGCCAGCACTGTCAGCTTTATACCCATACTGTTGAAATAGTCTCCCAACCTTGTATGCAGTTCTGGCAAACAGCAAGAAGAAAGCGTTGACTTTGGATCAGATAGATTTGAGTTTTAAACACTACCTACTACTACCTCTGTTTTTATACTGACAACTTCTCTGAGCTATGATTTCTTCATCTTTAAAATGAAACATTGATCTCAAAAAATTGCTGTCAATGTTAAACTAAATAACAAAGGTTTACATGTGCTTTAACAAATTCTGGTTCTCCTTCAAGCTCTCTACTGCCTGTCCCCCAGCGAGCTAGTCTTTTGCATTGCTTCTGTATTAATATTCCTGAAAAAGCATTTTGTGTATAGCTCTCTTGCTTAAACTCCTTAGCCTGGCGTTTCTGGCTTTCATCTAATGGTCGTCATCTACCTCTGCCATCCACCACCTGTCTGTCAGTTCGTTGTACTATGGTGACTTACGTGTTGCTGTGATACTGGAAGCTATGCTACTGGTATTTCAAATACCAGCAGAGTCACCCATGGTGGACAGGTTTCAGTGGAGCTTCTAGACTCAGATTATAAAGAAAGGCCTGGTGATCTACTTCTAAAAATTAGCCAATGAAAACCTATAGATAACAACAGAATATTGTCCAGTATAGTGCTGGACGATGAGCCCTCTAGGTTTGAAGGCACTCAAAATACACAGTGGCTATAACAGTGGATTATGAAGATGATGCAGGACTGGGCAACATTTCATTCTCTTGTAATGGGGTCGCCATGAGTTGGAGCCAATTTAACAGCAACTAGCAGCACCACCACCTCTGCCACATGATATCTCATTATGCTCTGGCAGGAACAAACTGCCCTAACCAGAGTAATCTGCTCATTGTCTTTTTAAATGTGTCATATCCACACCTGCTTTAATCTCTCTTTCCAGGCCATTTCTCCTATAGGACATGCCATCATCCGCTACCTTAGCTTAAGCCTCACCTTTTGTGTGAAAACTTCCTTGATACCCTAGTGATTTCTGCATTCTTTGAACCCTGTGTCTTAGTTTTTTGGTGCTTATAATTTCTTGGTTTTGTAATGATCTCTTTTTTTTATATAACCGATTTATCTCTACAGTTAGACTGAGTATGATAGAGACCACGTCTTAGCATTTTTAAAATGAACAATATACATAATGGTTCCTGAATAAAATTTTCATGCTTTTGTTTTGTTTTTGCAAAATATTTATGGAATCTTTAACATATACCGGAGCCCTGGTAGCACAGTGGTGAAGAGCTTGGCTGTTAACCAAAAGGTCGGCAGTTCAAATCTACCAGTTGCTCCTTGGAAACCCTATGGGACAGTTCTACTCTGTCCTATAGGGTCGCCATGAGTTGGAATCGACTCAACAGGTTAGGTTTTGGTTTTTTACCATATATCAGTTCCAGACTCTGAGATCATAAACACAAATGAACTAACCCTTGTTCCTTAGGATAGTGGTCTCACGGAGGGACAGGTGTTGCACTCCTGTTTCAATACAATATGGTAACTGCTGTGTTAAATATTTTAAAGGTATTCCATGAGTATACTGAGGGAAGTGGGACTTTTCCTGCCTGGGAGGTTTGGAGAAAGTTTCTGGAGTTGAACACCCAAACTCAGTTTTAGGGGATGACTGGGATTAGCCAGGTGAGGAAAGATGGGAAGAGCTTAGCAGAGGAACAAAGTGAGTAAAGGCCTAGAGGCAGTGTGTTTTAGGAATTCTAAGAAGTTTGGTATTAGGAATAAGTGAGAGTTCGGTTGATGTTAACATAATGATCAGTTGAGACTGGCAGTTAAGTTGTTGTTCGTGCCATCTGATCGGTTCAGACTCACAGCGACCCTATGTACGATAGAACAAAATACTGCGTGGTCCTGCGCTATCCTCACAGTCATTGCTAGGTTTCAGCTCATTGTTGTAGCCACTGTGTCAGTCCATCTCATTGAGGGTCTTCCTCTTTTTCCCTGCCCCTCCACCTTAGCAAGCATGATGTCCTTCTCCAGGGACTGGTCCCTCCCGATAACATGTCCAAAGTATGTGAGACGAAGTCTTGCCATCCTTGTTTCCAAGGAGCACTCTGGCTGTATTTCTTCCAAGACAGCTTTTCCATTATTCTGGCAGTTTATGGTATAGTCCGTATTCTTCGCCTGCACCGTAATTCAAAGACATCAGTTCTTCTTTGGTTTTCCTTATTCATTGTCCAGCTTTCTCATGCATATGAGGTGATTGAAAATATCATGGCTTGGGTCAGGCACATCTTAGTCCTCAAGGTAACATCTTTGCTTTTCAACACTTTAAAGAGGTCTTTTGCAGCATATTTGTCCGGTGCAGTACTTTGTTTGATTTCTTGACTGTTGCTTCCATGGACATCGATCGTGGATCCAAGTGAAATGAAGTTAGGTTACATTATGTAAATTAAAGAGATTTTGATTAGTCCCTATCTTATTCTGCATTTCCTTTGGGAGTCTCAGATTCTCTTTTAGCAAACATGGTCATTAATCTTATGGGAGCAATTTATATTTGAGTGGCTGGTGTTTATTATATATGTTCCTACCGGAATAGAGAGATACAAAAGAAAGATATTTATGCAATGTCTATAGCACTTTCTTTGAGATACATAGGTTTTAGATTTCTACCCCCTACCTTTGAAAGTAGCCCTGTTTTAGGTAAAATATAGTTATTTGGAACACTATTAAATTATTATGTGGGAGATGATGAGAGTTTTAGTAAATAAATATAATTCTGAAAACCATTTTGGGTTGTGTTATGGATTGAATTTCCCCTCCCCTCAAAATATATTTGAAATTCTAACCCCTATACCATGACCTTGTTTTCTTTTGTAATGTTATTGAGATCATGCCAGAGTAGGGTGGGTCCTAAATCAAATCACTTCTGAGTTTATAAAAAGAGTAGAATAGATGCAGAACACATAGCGGGGAAGAGGAAGACAGATAATAGAAATAGATAAATCTACAACCCAGGAATTGATAAAATTGCTGACAGCTACTAGAAGCCGAAATAGACAAGGAACGGCCTTCCTGTAGAGCCACTTCCTGAACTTGTGAGACAGTAAATTTCTGATCTTTAAAGCCACTCACTTGTGGCATTTCTGTTATGGCAGCAGTAGGTAGCTACGACAGGCTATTGTTGATAGGACGTATTTTGTAGAGTCCTTACCTGTTGAGATACAGAGACGTAGAATGAAGGAGGAATTCTGTAGTGTTAGAGGAAGAAATTAGAAATCTTTAATTTTTGAGGTTAAGTGACATCTCTTTGGGTTTAACTTTTCCATTATGA